CGGGACCGGCCCGGTGTGGCACTAGGGCAGGGTGGGGCGGGGGAGCCGGGCCGGGCCCGGCGTAGCGCTGGTACCGTGTCATGCAGTAACGTTTCCTTCCTGTTTATTTACAAGGTATCTTCGCGTTTTAATGGTCTTCTGGTCGTTTGTGGCTGGGGGTGTTGCCTTCTTACTGTTCGTTGGGACCGGATTCCCTCCTGCCCAATATTCTTTTTACAATAAAATATAAACCCAAGGTAAATACGTCCGTTAACACTCATCTGCTTTCTTTAAATCTGGTATTGATAGGTAATGGTTTGCAATTCTTGTGGAGTTCTAGCTGGTTTCGGAAATATTAAACATCAGTGCACCTCGTAGCCACCGACTGATAGATGTTTTGTAGCAAACGTACAATAATTAAGGCTTTGGATCCTCCATATATTTGTGCACAGTCCCATCAAATCTATGTATGGCTGTAAAGCCGATTGTTGGGAGTGTTCCTGGATGTTCTTTTATGCTCCACTTGTTTTTCACTTTTTTTTTTTCATTTGAGTAGCAAGTAGTTGAGATATTATGTAGGTGTATTCTCTGTTATTGAGGCTTTTGTTTTCTAAAGATGCCCTTCCTTTGGCAAGGCAGTGCTAAGTCTTCTTTGCTGATTGTAGTCTTTTAAGTGGTACTGAATTTCAAAGAAAAAAAAAACTGCCATAGGAAATTGCTGCTTTCTAACTTAAAGTGGTTTAATGCAAAATTTCATAGGACTAAAAATGTTACAGTTACAATAGTTGAAGGCTATAAGTAAGGCAAGTTTTGAAGAGAAACCAAGCTGCTCTGTTACTAGACCAACTGATGTACAGGGAGATGACTGGAGGTGTGAAAAGGTATCCATCTACTCAAATGTTGTTTTAGCGGAAGTGATTTTTCCATTTGGTTCAGTTGTTTCTCATACTATGCCTTGTTAATCTTGTTTTCCTGCTGGGGAAACAACTTCATCTTTCTGCTGTTCAATTCTCTGTAATCGTATACTCTACAAGGAAGTTCACAAATGTATCAGTATATTGAGAGACTCATCATTTTGAAGAACGTAAACTTGTCCAAATATCTTCTTTTAGCAATTAGAATTGCCGGAGCTATTTCCCCACGGTCACAGTTGCGCTGTGTGTGGCAAGGTCAAATGCAAGAGGCACAGGTAAATTCCATGTGTGGCACTGGTAAGCTTAGTATATCTTATATTTTGTATGCAGCGGTAGGGAGCTTTCAATTAAATATTGTTACATCAGCTTTTCCATGCTCTCTAACAGACCTGCTTTGCTTCTGGAAAACTATCAGCCATGGCTGGATCTGAAAGTGCCTTCCAAGGTTGATGCATCCCTCTCAGAGGTAATTGCTGCTTTGTTTCTTTAGTTCCTTGAAATCCAGTGAGGTTTTTTATTACATATCTCTCAGACCTGTTGCTTCTGGTTCAGTAGGTAGTTCGGGTGTACTTCCTGTGTATGTTAACTTGTTCCTGTAGGAGTCAAATCAGAAGAATATACGCTGGGAGCAGAGAGGTGAGGTGGCCTACTTGTTAATACAAATGTACTTGTATTAACAGACATTAACATAGCATTTGTTCCTGTAGTAGTGTGCCTAGAACATAGAAGAAATATCTATGTCAATTGGGAAGCACATAGGAAAGAACAGTTACAATTGAATGACTGAAAAACATGTCCAGTTCTCAAAAAGTTATGGATTTCAGCCTGCTTAGTTTGTTGAAGTGGAGGTTAAGAGATGATTTGCTCCAGCTGTAAAACTTCTGCAAAGAAGATGATAATGTGATTGTACCTATTTAAAATAATGAGACAAAGCTGTAACAAAATATGTCTGAAAAAATAAATTAGTGGACTTATTAAAAGAATAGTGTGAATGCCTGTTTTTAATAAGAATGTAAATCAAGAATTTTGTTTTGTTCTTTTCTCTCTAGAAAGAGAAGTGCTATCTGAAGAGAGATTTTTCTTTGGGTTAGCTTTTTTTTTCCCTTGGTAATAGATGAAATATATTGGCAACTAAATCGATAATCTTTTGTCCTCTTTCAAAGAGGAAAATAACACAGACGCATAGCTTAATCTCAATTTATTGAGAATTCCAGCTTTGGAGTTCAATGGTAGGAGGATGAACGGGTGGCGTGTTAGAAGTAAGAAGATTCTTTTGTGTCAGCTCTCCCAATTAACAACATGGTGTGTGAAGTCAAAGCTCTGTGTGTAGAGGACACCTCATTAATGTTTATAAATATTTAAAGGGTGACTGTTACGAGGATGGAGCCAGGCTCTTCTCAGTGGCATCCAATGATAGGACAAGGGGAAGTGGATATAAGCTGGAACATAGGAGGTTCCACTTAAACATGAGGAAGAACTTCTTCCCAGTAAGGGTAACAGAACACTGGAACAGGCTGCCCAGAGAGGCTGTGGAGTCTCCTTCTCCGGAGATGTTCAAAACCCGCCTGGACGCATTCTTGTGTGGTCTGCTCTAGGTGGTCCTGCTCCGGCAGGGGTATTGGACTAGATGATCCTTTGAGGTCCCTTCCAATCCCTAACATTCTGTGATTCTGTGTGTTTGTGGTATAAGCTAATGCTTTAATTCAGCTGTGTGCCAGGCATGGCCCACAGCAAGAGTAGCAAAAGAATGACAACCTTAAGGGAAGGGAGAGGTGGGCAGTTGAGGAATGTTTTTAAGAAAAAAAACAGATAACAGCTTGTTGACTTCCTCTGGTTTACTGCAGTGACTTCCTCTGCAAATTCAGAAGCAAACATTTAGCGTTTTTGAATTACTTAATCATTAATTATTTTTTAATAAGTTTGTGCTCAAGTGTTTTAAAATAACAGTATCGCTGAATATCATTTCAATAGGCTTACCTCTTTAAACTTTTTGTTTTAATAATAGAGCGTAAAATAAATAGTTCTATGCATGTAATATTTTTAGAATTTTGAGAAGCAAATATCTGTGACAGTATATCAAATGGTGGGGTAAATGCAAAAGAACTGGAAATTTTCCTGTTTAGCTTAAACGAGTCTTTAATGCTAAAAAAGTTACTTGTAGTATGTTATTCACAAAAGATGCAAATAGATTCCATAGTTCTCTTCTAAGACTGATCTTTAAAATGTGCTGCTATGCATTGGCATTTTGTGTTTGATCACTGTTGCTGTAGTTCTACTTTTACCAAAGTAGTGTGGGCTTTCCTTGGTTGTTTATTTTTTTTCCTTCAGTGGCATGTCCCTGGCCCTGCTTTATTTAGCAGTGTAGATGTGGCTCTTGCTTATCTATGCCATGTTTCTCGTTCCTGTCTTTTCTTTGGGTGCTTAGCTAGAGGGAAGTGCCAGACCGGAGTTCTGTGCCTTCCTGGGGCAGTGAGCCAGAGTAATCATCTCTGGACCCAAACAAGCAGTCGATCTGAGCCACCATTGTCACCTGTGTAGGATACTGTTTGGAATGAGATATCTTATTGCATTGTTCCCCGTTGCAACTCTTCTGTACTGGTTAAAAGGGTAGCACGAGTTCTGCCCACATCATATTGCTCTTGATCGTCTGCTCTGGGGATGCAGTGTGTAATGCGTGCCTGGAATTGGATGACCTGCTTAGGGTTGGAAGGAGAAACTTGCATTTATTTTCTTGTGTGCCGCCTTTTAGTCATGCATTAGAGGGAAACTGATACAGTGAGAACTGAATTAAGATTAATGAGATTCAGAAGAAGTGCAGAGTGCAACCTGCTTCTGAAAAGCAGATTCTTCAAATACTTTGGAATAATTCTGGGATTTTTTTATTCTGGATTATTTTTTCTAGTTTTTCCTTTGCAGGCTGAGGAATTAAGGCAATGTTCTCATTTCCAAATGTTTCTAATTTGAATCAGTTGTACAGTCTCTAAGCTTGTGTTTTCAACTGCTTACAGAATAATTTAATACAGACTCTAATCAGAAGAAAGCCAAGTTTTTCTCACAAGTATGAATTTTTCTCTCTCTTGGATTGCAATCATAGTTTGTCTCACTTCACAAATTCTTAATCTTTTGCAGCTTTATTTTGGTTATCTAGCTGCTGTACGTGATTTAGAATAATAAGAAAAACCTGTGCTTGGACTTTCCTCTTCCCTTTGTTTACATTTATTGTTATAGTTGAACTCTAAACTGCCTCAACTGTGCATCTATCAATATTTGATAGTTTGGCTGTATCCTGCACAAAAATAGTGCAATCACCTAAGTATAATTTTGTTTCCAGTTTCTAATCCATTGTGCTTTATGTTAGTTTCCCCAACGTTTTATTTCTTTTTGAATTAGGATGTGATATTTGTGGTCAGTTCTATGTTCTATATAATTTCAGGTGTTATAGATTGTATAAAGGAGAGTTTGATTCTATTTTTCAGTTAATTAACTCAGCTCTTTCCATAAAGCCTCATTTTTGCTGTGTGAGGGATGATTGCAAGTCAAATCTATGGAAAGCTGCTGAGCTATTCTTGATCAGCATCATGAAAGAAATGCCTTAGCGAATCAAGGTGCTGTCTGTTGGTCTCACAAATGTTTCTTTAATACTTAAGTTCTCAGGTTCTTGACTTGATTATGGGAGCAGAATTTCATCTCTTTCTTTTTTTTTTTTTTGTCTTTTCTGAAAGTGACAAATGCTCAAATGCATGACAAGAAATCGGTTATTGTCTAAACGTCCTCCTTTCCAGTCCTGAACTCTTGTAGCAGCACAGTAGTGGCCTGCATGCTTTCTTATTGGGAATAACTTCTACCCTCAGGGAGTGGTCTCTGCTATCTAGTTTTACCATCTTTTAAGGGTTTTCAAATTGTCTTTGTGGTTTACTTATCAAATCCTTGCTCGTTTCCAATCTAATTTGGCCTGGTACTTCTGACCTGCTACTGAATCATTCATCACTCAAGCTCTACAGTTTCTCCTCCTGAACAGCTGGGGTATGTTCTATGGCACTGCACAGAAAGCTTGTCTCAGCAGCAATAGACTGACTAGCTTGCAGTATCGCAGTGCATACTAAAAAATAGTTTTTCTTAGTTTTTTCTTCAGCCACTGCTTATATTGCTACCTGCTGCATTTGGTTCTACACTTGTAATCTCTTTCGAATTCAAAACTGCTCACATGTAGTAGAACCAGTCATTCTGCAAAATACTTAAAAAGTAGGTAGGCTTTAAATGAAGTGACTCATCATTTGTATTTTAAACTGGAGAATAATATTTTACAGAGGAAATAGCTTATAATTAGCTGTTATTCTTACCTGTCATTCTTCGAGATGTCCTGTCTATTCGGTTGGCATGTGTGCATAGTGTGAGCGATTGAGCTTCAATAATATTGCTGGCTTTGCTAGAATGGAGGTGGGTACAGGTGTCCTGCTTTCCTAGTGCTTTACGAAAGCGCAGTGGATGATGTGACAGGTTTTTTTCTGACTTACAGAATCACACTGATGTAGTCTGGAAGGCTCATAGGGTTCATGGGAAAACTGTATGGACCATACACATTGAACTCCAGTTACTGGCAGTCAATCACCTGTTATTTCTTGAGTGCTTGTATTTTGCAGTATGGACAATTTTGCACTGTAGCTCTCTCTTAGCTTCAGTACAGCACCTTGGTGCAACGGAGCGTCGTGCGTAACTGCCTCTGCCATGCCACATGTTTAGTAAATGTGCAACTAGGGTCTGCTTTCTGTGTGTCCAGGATCAAGGTGTTTCTTATTCAGATGATATAGATAACTTGAGTTCTAGTAGAATGTGTCTTGACTTCCGATATCGAGACCAGCGATATGTGGACTTCAAGTGCGTTTTGAGTTAGTTGCCTGTCTCTGTGTGTACTACCTGTGGGTCTTTGGTTAGTGGGATTATCTGCATGGCATTGTCCTATGTAAGCATTACTATAAAGGCCTTACAGTGTGGCTGTGATAACAAGAGAAACACTGGCAATTCTGCCAAGTGGTTGAACTGGAAGTCAGTTACTACACACATGGGATGAATCTCAAGGAGACCTTATCCGAAGGGGGATGGGTCATCGGGTCTTACGTCTTCCCTGCTTTCCTTGCTGATTTAATAACCACAGGAAGACGATTCTCAGAACCATGCATGTTTGGCTTAGCTAGCAGTAAGAATGAAATCTCACACTGTCGGAAACAATTCTTCTAGCAGCTTTAGAAGCCTCTGGTCTGTAGGTGAAGAGAGTGCCAACAAGTTATGTTAACAACTGATGAACTGAAATTGCAGTGACACGTGCCTGATAGACAGGCTTTCAGTTCCAAAGTTGTAGTCGTGGCTAAAGAAAGCTTTTTCTAGAGGAGTGCATTGTACTGCCTTTGAGTACGCTGACTTGTGCTTCAAGGCTCTCTAAGTGCTCTTGCCACTCCAAGCAGAAGATGATCTGCTGTCATTGCTCATGGTGGGGAGACGCCTAGCAAAAGTGGAGGAAGAAAGAAAAGGGCTCCTTTAACAGATAGATGCATGGTTTGGGTTTTTCTGCAGATCTTTGATTTTGAAAGGCACTGTTTTGAAAGAGTCTGAGGTTTGAGCCCTGGAAGAGGTTTATTTTGTTAGAAACTCTGCATGAACAAAAATAATGTTGCAGTACCTGTGAGACTGAGATTTCTATGGAGTAAATTGGTGGTTTATATACTGGCAGTGCTATGGAAGGCATCAGGGAAATTGTTTTGAGTAATGTGATCCATTGTTCTTAAGGCTGATGAGCTGTTTGCTGACTGGAGCTGGATGTGATCTTCTGCCTGTTGTTTGAAGATTGACTTCCAAAGAAGATTCTCTGGGATTTCTTGAGCTCTTCTGGCCTAGAAACTAAAGCATCTGTTGTCATCTCCTTTTCCCCTTCCCTCACCCCAATTCCACTCTGCTTTTAATGGAAATACAAGATTTTGGAGGGGGACACATGACATTTAGCTTACCCATCCATCATCAACACGTGATTGTATTGCCTTTTCAAGATCTATTACTGCTATAGCACATAGGGGTAGCAGAAGATGAAAGAACAAAATTTCTTCTTCACCCTTAAAAACAAAGGGAGGAAAATCACTGAAATGGAAGAGTTGTAAAAGAGAGAGTATCTTACAAAATTAGAGTAGGCAATATTCTTAGTAGTGAAGACAGAAAAAGAGTGTTCATCAGCTGCTCACATCTGAAGAATTGAGAGGAATTAAAAAGGCTGTGGTTTGCGTTTTACTGAGCGTGCTTTTATGATCATGAGTAGAGCAGAGGCACGTAGTGCCCTAAAGATAGTATAAATTTAGCAAGTCTTCAGTTCTTGCAGTGCACACAGTGTGGATGAGTGCAGCAGCAAATCTTGTAGGAAGAGTAATATTTTTTCTCATAAATGACACTTGTGTGTCAGCTGTTACATTCAGCTTTCCTTTAAAACAGATGTTACATTTTTCTTTGAGCACAGTGACTTCTTTTGCAAAAGCTTTCTTCCTGTAGAACACAGAGCAGCAGCCTCACGTAGCAACACACGTGTTCTCTCTTAGTACCCTGACCAGCATTGACGCTGCAGAGCACAAACGGATCTCCGAAGCAGTGATTCCAACTGAGGGATAGGCTACAACAGGAGTACATGTAGTGAAGGAGGAGAAATCTTAAGGAAATTTCATCCTTCCTTCTCCTTCCTCATGCTTTTTTTTCTTGGCACTGTGTGATGTTTTCCCTTCCCTTCAGAAGTTTCCTTTTGGCTAATCATGGTGCAAGGACTTTAACAGTTACGTGAAAATTTGGTATAGGTGTAAGGAGAGGTGCCAGAGCTGCAGTCTGGCTAGCAGTGCACCTTGTGTATATGGTGGTGGCAGCCCGCTGATTGTCACCTCCCCTGCCTCTCTTCCTGCTGTGACATTGGAAGCCAAGCTGAACCAGGGCGTGCCTATGGCATGGCTGCAACAGCACTGGTTCTTCCGGATTAGCCTACGTTTTCCAGCATAGAAAGGCAACCATAGTCTTGACCTGTAAGGAACAGGTTTGATGGAAAGGGTGGAAAAGATTCTTCTGCAGAGATCGATGTGGGTGGAGTATACAGGGACTATAAACAGGACAGAGAAGACCATGAGGATGCATATAGGACAAGGACTTTGGGAAGTGCTCTGGTTGGGGCTTCAGGAGATGGCTGGACCATAAGGCAGGCTTTGTTGAAAGCTGGTGCAGGATGTGGAGAAAGGAGAATGGCTTTCATAGAAATTGCTTTTTAGTATTCTTCTTTGTGAGTGGTGAGCATACAAGATTGACTGTCCCACTTTGAGGGTGGGGGAGAGCTGGAAAAGGTGGAAGCTTGGATGAAAAAGAATGGAGGTATGTGTAAGCATAGGATGGGTAGCTGTGCTGTGGGGCACTCCACACTATGTCAGAAAAGAACAAGAACTGATGTGAAAAATTAGGGAAGGGCTATTTGAGGTGAGATTCCATTTTTCATAGCGTTTGGCTCACAGAGTGGCCATGCCATGTGCTTTGCTTTGTTGGTAGCACTAGCAGCAGCTGTTTCTTGTTGAGATCTGATGAAACCATCGCTTTGTTGCTATTTGCCCAAAGTACAGATTATTATGCAGAACGATTGATCTCACAATAGGATCGCAACGTACACATTTGTATATTAAAGTTTTATGATGTATGAATTATGTTCTGTGAGTTTTAGAAGGTGTTTGTGTTTTTAATTCTTCTAACAAGGATTTATGGTAAACTTTTATTTTGTAATATGGTTGTCTTTGTCCTGCACAGGTGCTTGAGTTGGTGCTGGAAAACTTTATTTATCCATGGTACAGGTATGAGCTTTACTTAAAAGTTACTGGTTTTGAATATCATAAATATCTGTCAAACTGTTTAAGAAATAGTCACCTGAAAACAAACATTTTTGTTTCTTTAGTAAAATATAAAGCATACTTTTAAGTGCTACAGTTTCATCATTTTATTGTCTCTTACGAGAGTAGAACAGATCTTTTAATAATTTAGACATGATAGAGGTGGTTCTGAAATGTGTATTTCATCCTAAAGCCACTTTTTTGATTATTCGTTTTCATATGTTAATTTTCTAATGACTGACTTGGAAGAACATATGGCTTAATTAAAACCTGTGTAAAAACTCAAAAACCCACAGAAATTTGTTTCCAGATTACAAGCATGCTGATCTTTCATATTGCTATAAAAAAAAAATAATAACTTTACAGTGTTTTGAAAACAAAAATTCCACTTTTAATTAATATAGAAAAGATATTCTGGATACATATTGTGGCCACTTGCTTGCAGAGCATCTGGTGATTTGCTGAGTTTTAAGACTGTGAGTGGTTATGCTGTGCTGAGTAGAGTAGTACTGTGTAAATAAGTTTAAAATCATATATAAAGAAAAGAATATGGCTAATTCTTTTTTCTTTTTTTTTGCCTTGTACCTTTATATGTTAATTAGTGCTTCAGGGTACTTTGTAAGAAGATAGCCTGTTAGAGCCTGTTGTGATAGGACAAGGGGTAATGGTTTTAAAATAGAGGGAGGTAGATTCAGGTTGAATATTAGGAAAAAATCTTTTACCATGAGAGTTGTAGAACACTGGAACAGGTTGCCCAGAGAGGTGGTGGATGCTCCATCTCTGGAGACGTTCAAGGCCAGGTTGGACGAGGCCCTGAGCAACCTGATCTAGTTGGAGATATCCCTGTTCCTTGCAGGGGGGTTGGACTAAATGACCTTTGAAGGTCTCTTCCAACCCTAACCATTCTATGATTCTATGATTCTAAGACAGTAAAATATTTTTAATTGATCATATTGGCATTAACGTGTTAAAACAACATTTTGCCTTAATTATGAATTTGACTTTTTAATTGGATTGAAATGTTCGATTTGCTAAAAGAAATTTATACTGTTTTTCTTTTATGCTACGCGGTGGGTTTTTTTTTTCTGTCTCTCTGGGATCTAAAATCTTCTGGGCGGACTTCTTTGATTAGTTTTTGATTGTGGCCAGTACCTGCATATCTCACATCTGTCTTTGTGTGATGACTACACTGAAGTATAAAACTTGACTGCTGATGCAAACAGCAGAGGGAGCTGTAGCACCGTGTATTGTGAATGACCGAGCTGGAAAACTCAAGGGTTTTAACTTTCAAATACAGAAAACTAGAGCATGTTCTGTTGAACTGTTTGATAAAGTAACAAATATAAGGGGACCATCTTCTGAATTTTGTAATTTGAAATTAGATAGGATTTTTTGGCTGGTGGAAGGTGTTTTCAATGTTTTTGTTTTGGACTGACAAGGAAACTTGGATTCCACATATTACTTACGTCTCTGACACCCAAGACAGTGGAAGTCTGGAATACATCGTATGGTGGGGATAGTAATATACGTAGTTAGAAGCGCAGTGCAAAATACACTTGGTATGGAGCCAGTCAGCCAGATTTGCTACCTCTTGCCCTCAGTGAGCGGTACAGATGTTCCTGCACTGTCTTTAGTTTTACATGGCTGTAACTCCAGATTTTGAACTAGCTCCATAATTTTACACCGTGCTGCTCAGACCTAACAATCTTTCCATGAACCTGAGGTACCCAGTGAGCTGCAGTGCAGTGGGATCCGAGTAATTCTGCAGGAAGCAGCTTGGTCCTGAAAGGCTTACTGGTTTCAGCTTAACAGTAGTAACATCAGATCTGGTCTCATTTCCTCTGGACATTCAAGTGTTTCTATGCTTTCCTGTGTTTCCAGCAACCATTGTGCAGGGAGGCCTGAAATTGTGTCTGCGTGCAGCCATTTGAGGTCTGTCTCATGGAGCATGTTAGTTCTGACTTTCCCTATTTAAAAGTAACCTACACTGTTTATATAGCTGAGCTCATCCTGGAGAAGGGACTCTTACATTCATGAAATGTTTTTGCTGAGTTAACAAACCTCACTTACTGTGGATGATTATTCACAGAGCCAAATCAGGAGCCTTTGCATCCAGACTATCCTTATTTAGCAGCGTGGGTAACCACCAGCAGGCAATTCAGGCTTGCCAGACTAGGCTGATAAAACAGTTTACTGCTTTCCCTTGCAGAAAAGTCTGGGCATAATTACTTATGCTAGCTGCCCTCCTTCCAAGTGACTGGAATTTGTGCAGAAGATACTTCTCTCTTTTTTTTTTTTTTTTTTTTTCCCCTCCTTTATTTTGCAGCACCTTACATACTCTGGACATTAGAGAGGTAACACGACGTATCTCACTTAGAAGCCTGGACAGTGTAACACTTACCAGAAGTCTATGCTGCAAGATAAAATCATAGATTTATTGCTCAGGAAATAAAGTGCTATAGCAGCAAAAAGCTGTGGTTTATGTTTGTTTCATTAATAAATTGTGTAATTATTTGTAATATTTTATTAGCAGCTTAAAATTTAGAGACAAACATCCCTAAACTTGGATCAGTTTAGGGGAATGAAGATTAGTACTTAAAATCCAGTGAACTCTACTGAAATAGGTAGTTATACCTATGTGCAATTTTTGTTTGGTATTTTTCAAAGTATATTTATACTGGTTATATTTAAATACCTGTGTTTTAAGAATTTTTTTCAACTATATGAGAAGAATAGAGCATAGTTGTAAGTAATCCAGGTTTGCAGAGCTACGAAACACTGGTCTGAGTCTATTGCTTATGCTGTACAATAAAACTATATAATATGTTACTTATACCAACCTCATTTTAAATAGAGTTTAAAGTTTGAATGAGTCACTCTGCTTACTGAATTTTTTCGATTGTTGATGCTACTGCAGCTCCAGTTCTCTCAGATTAGATGAGAATCCACTAACTACCACATTTTGGTTAGACATTGCGATGAAAACATTTTTCTTTCTTAGTGACTAAACCCAGTGTTTTCTCATATGGAGCTGCTTCTATTTTAAATGCAAGTAATGCAAGAAAAGTTCAGGATTTTTGTTGAGTTACAAACCGTAGCGTCACAGTTTTACCAGCTTGCAACTAATTTACTTCATCTTTTTGATAGGAGTTGGCCAAATTTTATAAGAATAATTGACACACAAGGGAAAAAAAAATCACTTTGGTATTTGTATATGGTTTTCATTTATCAGTAGATCCCATAAGACTTTGCATGCAATAGCAGTTGGGTGTATCTCTTCTGAGACATTGGACTCAGTACCCACTAACTGTTTACAATTAACAGAGTGAGCCTTTTTCTTTTAGCAAATCTCTCAGTTATACTGACAGTTGTGTTTTTAAGTTTTTCCTCAAATTCTGGGAAAATGCAGCCAATTTTTAAAATGTTTCCAAGTGAGTTACTTGGACCCTTCCACTGTGTTGCTGGAGATTTGAGATTTTACAGGTTTGTGATGTGTTTTTTTTTCACCAGTCTTCAGTCTGCTGGTGATTAAGAGAGTGTCTTTGCAAACCTATGGCACGTTGTGAAAGTACGTGACATAAAGTCATGTCCAAGTAGAATTAGCCAAGATACTGGTTATCCAAGTCTCAGTAAAATAACAACTTCTTGGTCCAAATTACTTCATGTATCTTGTTGTCTGTCACATACGAGTAATATAGTCATACAATTTGTTTGCTAATTCCTTGGCTTCCTTTGACAGTGTGGGTATTTGCTAACCATATTGCTTCCAAACTGTCAGCTGCTGAACTTAAAACAAACCAAAGCTTCCCCTGCAGTATTCTTATCTGCGTATGATTAGCTGTTGGAGGATGGTTGTATTCCTTATGCCAGGCTGCTTTCTTTGAGGTGCTTTTTCATACCATTAGTTGCATACTTTGACCATCAGATCGCCAGTATCTGTACCTAGCAGTTCATCTTCAACATGCATTTGAATGCCATATTACCCAGGCTAACGTTGATTTAAAAAAATCAGATGCTGAATAATGTAAAATGATATTATAGGCATAAGATTTTCATTTTTCGAATGTACTATTGTTGCTTGCACTGATATTTTTAAAATGCAAATAGTGTTTGCATTTACTACATATGCAAAATCATTTATTACTGAAAACTGATAGCTTTTATGTATGGTCATTGGCTAAAGCAGACTGTAACTGACTTTGTCTTGTTACTCAGCTATTATAATGCAGTTTTACCAATATCTGTAGTCATACTCTAATGTCCATATATGCTTAAATGCTGCTAGATTTTTATTCTTTCTGTTGCATTTTGTGGAATGGTGTTGTCATGGTCTCTTTTTCCACTCAGTTTAGTTGCAGTTTCTGTGTCTAAGATTTAGTGTATTTCCTGTTTTCATTCAGTTGTCCAAAAAAAGACATGGAGTTAGGTATTTCTCTTTGTGAATCAACTTAAAGAATTTTTACAATGATTTTCACTGAACATACTTTATTGGCGCACGTGGAAACTAGCAAGCCAGATAAAAAGTTTAGATGGTATTTTGACATAGTGATTTTGGAATCTGTTTAAATTCTTATTTATTTCTCCTTTATTTGCAAGCAGGAACCATGTTGAATAATTTTGATTTTGTTCCAAGTGGCTATAGGTTGTTTTGTTTTCTTTGTAATTGATGGTTTCATATTTCATGCTACGTCAAAAGTAGATCAACTTTTTAAAAAACAAGTTCTGTCGTTTATTGGTTTCCTGTGCTATGCTTTCTTCTCTAGGAAATGGCAATATCTGTTTAGACCAGAAATAGGCCCAATTTTATATTTAAAAAAGATAATATTATTGTATTAAATGGCATCTAAGTATTAGAACTTGTTGAAGAAATACCAAAGTAAGTTTTCTATTGGAAAAAGCTGAGAATACAAGGGGTGTACCTATTTCATTGAAAGCTACATGAGAAACTACCAGTTTTATAATAAAACCTAAACAAGCGATTAACAAAGCCAGATTTGTACTAAAACAGAAGAAAAGTATTTGAAATCTTGGCATATAGAAGGTCTTATAGTGTGCGGTGTGGAAAATCCAATTTTGAATAGCTTAACTGGGGTATGTTCTCGCTCTTATTCCAAATACTTTGCCTGTATTAGTTCAGTTTCACTTCATGCCACTGAACTAGGAAACATTTGTATGTGTGGAAACTAAGTTATATTTTACTCGGTCAAAATCATGCAGAGAGTAATTAGAGCAGGAATTGATATATAGTTCCAATTTACTGACATATTTTTTAAGCTGTTGTTGCGTGCACAAACATAGTGGGAATGCCGTGTGTTTTACTCGAACAGAACACTGGTTGCTCTCTGCCCACACTTGGTAGCTTTCATTTCAGTTATTACCAGTTGAAGTGTCACCGATGAATGTTCTTATTCCAGCTTTTAGTAGTGCCAAATGTATTGTGGTTGGATTAATACAAATGCTTTTTATTCTGTTTTCTCACATGACATGCTTTATTTACAACACTGCAGAAATATTACTGATGATGAATCGTCAGTGGATGAACTGAGAGGCACGCTGCGGTTTTTTGCATCTGTGTTAGTTCGGAGAATTCACAAGGTAAGGTGACTTAAAGGTATTAGCGTTGTTTTTCCGTCAGAAATAACTGATATCCATCAGTAGCGAGTTCTTTAATTTTTTTTAGAATGGCAATTCCAAAGTTAGTCTTACAGAGACTATAGGCAACTTCCATCTAAGTTTCTTCTTTGCGTTATCTGTTTCCTCCTTCTGGAGCTTATCCCGTTCCTGCTTATAAACCGTCTTTGAAGACTCATCCCTGGAAGTGTTCAATGTCAGGTTGGACATGGCTTTGAGCAGCCTGATCTAGTGCAAGATATGACCGCCCATGGTAGGGGGTTGGACTAGATGATCTTTGATGGTCTTTTGCAACCCAAACCATTTTATGATTCTATGATTCTTGCAAATGGATTTTTTTTTTTGCACCAGTGCAAGGCATTATTAAAACCTTAGGATGATCTTTTACCTGTCTTTTAGTGACGTAATCCAAGTGGAAACAATTTTGAGGGTTACTGAAAATGAACTATTAGAAAATTATTAGCAGTGTACCTCTCTGATAGCTTCTGCTTGCTTAACTTCTTTGAAGGAAGACAAGGTCCTTACCTTGTCTATAAAGAATATACTGTCAGTAAGTGGATAGTTTCCTATAAGAATTAGAACAGGTATGGTTCTTATATTAATGTAGTTCTTCAGAAACATTCTGAAGACTAAAAATTCAAATTTTTTATTCGCTATGTTTAATATATTAGCACATATACTCTGTTTTCTGGTAAAGTGCTTCAAGCGTGTTTTACAGGAACTGCTTCTAAATTTCTGGCTGTTCTAACCAGGAAGAGTTGCTACGTGAGTTTCCAGATTTGTTCAGTGCTGGTTGCTCTGTTGGAGCCACGACCATGAATGTGTGTCTTTTTTCCCTTGCTTAGTAACAGCAATATTTCCTGAGCTACAAATTGTCCGTGTACTCTGTCATGACTAATTAACAGCCTGATTATGTCCTTGTTACATATCAAATCCAGATGACTTTCTTGTTTAACTCAAGCATGTTACTTTTTAAAATGAACATGGGGGAAGATCAGGAAATGTGTGTATAGCGCAGACATTATGTGGAGGTGTGAAAGTGAAAATCTAGAGCAAGGTCTTAAAATTTAATTTGGAGTGGTCATACGTGCAGGTGTTAGTTGCATTATTTATAGCTCCGTTGTTGATTCAGAAAATGATGATGTCTCCTCTATTAATCATGTTGTCTCAGACCAGTTATAGCATCTTTGAGTGAAGGATTAATTTACCATATCTGCCTTTGACAGTAATGAAGTAAATGTAATATATTAAATTCTGTGTATCTGAGTAGACAACATGTGCAACAAAAACTCAAGGCATGTACCAGTATTAAGCGCTAGCAGGGGAACTACAAAATAAAGGCCATCATAGAAATACTCTTTATAAATATTTGGATTTATTCGTATCCATCCTACAGAACAATATAATTTATTTTGTCTCTGTGTCAATCTCAAGCAAAAAGATACTCGTAGTAACTTTGTGTTTTGGAACAAAATTGAAACTTGGCATGCTCAGTCATGCAGGGGAACATGGTGTGTCACGCTATGTTATGCTATATTTTTCAGCCCATACTTTGTTTTTGCTGAACAAGTGTTTCTGTGTGTGCACGCTTCCATATACAGATTCAGACAGCCTGAACTAGTAGCTGTGATGCAAATACTACCAAAAACGTTGTGTGTAAAAGTCAGGATTGATATGCAAGTTGCAAATAAAATACTAACTTTTTTTTCATCTTGGGAATCCTAGTTTAAAGCTTCAGTAGTTGGCTGAAAAAGGTTATGATAGAATGTTTTATAGCTTTTCAGCTCTTGATACAGTGTCCTTTACAACCTCATTTGAAAAGATTGCAAAATAAAATAGTTTTACACCTTTGCCAAACAGCTGTACTTTGATTTGGATTTATTATTAAATGCTTGAAAGCAGTAGTTCTGGCTAATAGACATAAACCTTTTAAATTCAGGAACTGCTATGTGTAAGAAAAAACAGACTTTTTTTTTTTTAGGTTATATCTTTAGACTTTTTTTTTTCCAAAGAATCTTCTACTTCTGAATTAAGACTTAAAATTATAAATTGTTTCAGTGAAAAGAATTCTGTTCAAGGCTGCCTGAGTGGATTTTTTTTGAGGCATGGTTGTTGAACAAAGTAGCAAGCACTTCAGGCCAGTCAGCTCTTAAGTATATGCTGAAATACTTCTCTCTCTCTTTTAAAAATCTAGATTTCCTTTGTGGCCTTTTCTGGGTTGGTTATGGGTTTTGAAGGGAAAGTGAAGGGTTTCCCATTGTGTGGTGTGGTGTAGATAGATGGCCTTGCACCTGGTTGAAATTTTTTTCAAAAGCCAATAGTGTCTACTACAGTGTCGATAACAATTTGCTTGCTGTGCTCTTTGACTTAACCTCTGCAGGAATAAACACTCCGCTATCCTGATGTGCCATAGGAAACTCTTGACTTGTTGGCATTAGTGTTGAAATGTGAGTCCCAAAGGGCAGGGTTTCCCTTGATGAGCAGAAGCTCCTACTTTCTTGCTTGTAAACAGGAGTTGCCCTTAATTTGGTTAGTTACTTTTAGGCCATTCTAGTCAATTGTGCTAGCTTCTGTGGGCTGGCCAGGTCAGGTCGTAGCTGTGCACCTCAAGCATTACTGGGCAGTGTGCAGGAACACATGCTATTCTCCTTGTATGAATAAAAGAGCAGCTTTTCTCTCAGCTCTGGTGGCCTTTGCAATTACACTGTCTCTTGTCTGGCAAGAAGCACTTTTATGCTTCTGTATTATTACTTAAGGTCTCTATTTGACTTAGTATTGAGAAAGGACACACTCCATTAGGAAAGAAACTTGTTCAGAAGTCTTAAATTTTGAACACTTGCAACTGCATGTTTCTGCTTCTCTGAGATGTCTTTTGTTCTTGCTTAAAATAAAGGGCTTGCAAAGTGTAAATCAGTTTCTAGATAAGTTTCTGTGGAGACTACTGAAGCTGGTAAAGAAGAATCCATTGAAACTATACAGGCTGGGGACTGGCTGGCTGTGGAGAGAAGCTCTGCTCCAAAGGACGTGGCCCCGTGGTAGACAGTAAGCTGAATATGAGCCAGCAGCATGTAGTGGCGGCAAAAAACACCAACAGCGTCCTGGGCTGTATTAACAGGAGCAGAGTCAGTCAGTCAAGGAGGGTGACTATCTGCCTTGACTTGGTGCTCTTTAGACAGCATCTAGGATACTGCATCCAGTTTCGGACTCCCTGTTACAAAAGAGACGTTGATAGAGTAGAGAAGGTTCAACCAAGGGGCTACCAAGGTGGTTGGGACTGGAGCGTTTGACCTGTGAGGAGGTGACTGTCTTCGTCTCAGGAGGTTTTCAGCACCAGGATGGATACAGCCCTGAGCACCCTAATCTGAGCCTGCTTTGAGCAGGAGGTCAGGCTAAGGCACCCTGAGGGTCCATTTGTACTTGAATTGTTCTGTAATTCTCCTTTCAGTTTCATAGCCATCAAGGAAAGTATAAATGCAGCATTCTAATACTCTAAATGTAATCCTTGATTAAATCATAAGTGCTTTTTGTTCAGCTTATGATCACGTGATACTGTTGTTGGCACTAATGGTTGTCTTGACTCAAATTTTTTTTTCATTCTGCCATCACCTGCACTGTGACTTTTTTTTTTTCTGCATATACACATAGAGAGAAGGGGTCTGCTTTGCTTTTAGTCCTTGTGGACATGAGTGCCAAGGCTTAAATTACACAAGTACTAGAAGCAGAGCATAGTGAACTTGCTTTTGTTGGTGATCAAATCTTCATGTAGAACTAGGCTTCATATACTGTGACTTGGAAGTCAAGCTGTATTACTGTAATTATTACAATGGAAGAATCGTAATGGGAACAAGTTGACGATAAATGTGTTAACAGTATTGTTTATGGAATGATGTATGCTTTGTCCAGAAGAATGAGCATACTGTCAGTTCATCTAGAGAATTCATGGGTTGGTTCTTAAGAGCTCGTTTTATGGTTAGAATGGGGACATATAAGCAAATAAATATGTTTGATAGTTGTTGTCTGTAATAAATTTTGGGAAAAAAAAGTAGAACAATTCTTTTTTTATTTTAAAACTACTCTTTAGGTGGATATTCCAACTGTTGTAACAAAGAAAATGCTCAAGGCAGCAATGAAACACATCGAAGTGATAGCCAAGGCCAGGCAGAAAGGTAATGTAAAGACTTAATACGTTGTCAGTTTCAAAGGGCAAGTACAAACGTTTATTTTTTGTTATTATATTTGCTAAATGTTTTTATCCTCGCTGCCTTCTCTTTAAAAAAAGCAATCCTTTTGCGTTTTTCCTCTGGAGGTATCAAAGACAAATAGGGGAAAAAGTTATATTACAAATAATCTCTCAGTTTTGATTTTCATTTCCCCACGTTGAAAATACTAAATTTCTTTCTCTGTTTGGTAAGCAGAAATGTGTTTTTTTATGTACTCAGAGCAGTCAAGGTCATTTAGCAACGCTGCCTGAAGTTTTTTCCGCCATATTCCAGATGAGCAATTATAAGTGAAAGAATTTGCATGTCCGTGCATTGTACTGTGACTAACTCTTACAGCTGGAATGATTTCACATCTGCACACGAACGCAAGCAGTTAGTGGAGTTGTTCAGTATATTGAGAAGTTAGGTGTATGTTTATAAGCCATGGAGAGACTTTGAGCAGTAGTGTATTTAATTGTTATCCAAATAAAAATATCTTCACAAGCCTAATGTAAAAATTATATTGAAACTGCACATTGAAGGAATGTTTGGAAAGTAGAACACTTGCTGTTGGAAAATAGTTTTTTTGTTTGGTGGTTGTTTTTTTTTTACTGGCTGTGTTCCACAATGCTGTATCTACTAAATGTGGTTTCATTCAGCTTTTAAGCATAGATGTTTGCTTTCACTTGAGTCATGAACTTTCCTCCCTTCTCTCAAAACATCTACTTGATATCCATAAATACATGCCATTGATCCTATGAGTAGTGGATATGAATAGTGAGACATAGTAGGATCACATTAGATGTTTTTCATGGCACAACAATTTCAAGATATTAGATTATCTTGCAGTGCTGTTTATGCCAAATTTCATGTTTCCTTTGATTTCTACTGAGGAGTTGGAAACATTTTTCTATAGCAGCAAAGAACTGGATTGTAAATGTACGGCATTGCAAATATAGCTATTTTTTTCAGTGTTTTAAAGGAAAAGACTTTTTCCCTGAAGGCAGGGATGTGAAGTAGCAGCCGAAAAGTACTTTTAGTAGTGCTTTCTAGTAGATGTTACTAAACCAGCCACCTGTAATACATGGTTCAGAGGCAGCTTTCAGGCCTTGCTTTGGTTGCTAGATGGGCCTAGCCTTTTCTGTTTGTTTTCTATATTGTTTTTCAAATGATTGCTTTAGGGGGCATTTCCTTTTTTCCTACTCTTCTTACCTTGATGTCTCTTAGCAGTTCCTCGCTATTTGCAGAGACACCTCCGTGATTCATTGCCTGTCTTTGCCAGAGAGCGCATTCCTTCTCTCTGCTTTTAGTGGCACTAACTAGGCAGATTTATCAGGCAATATACTTTACTGCATCCTCCGTATCAGCTGATGCCACTCGTGGCTCTTGGTTCTAGCGGGCTTCTGTACTAAATTCAATATGCTGGAAACAAGCTTTAACCTTCTAGATAGCAGATATGTATTAGGTACCTGACCTGTGCCTGGTGCAGTTCTTGGCATGGGGCTGTTCCAGATCGCTAGTGCAGCTAAATGTTATTTGTTAAAGTTCAGTTCTTGCCTTTGAAGTGATTTGAAGGAATATAACACTGTTGCTTCTAATTAATATGTGCAGTTTTTAATCTGACAAAGCACCTATTCTTTCAACCCCATACAGCTACTTAGAAGAGGCAATGCTTTTGCAGATCCCCACACTGGTTTTGGTTTGATTTATTCTGTGTTTAAAATATGTTTCTTCATGTTTGTTTCAAAATATTTTAAACAGGAAACAGATATAATAGGATTTAATGAAAGTTTAAGTTTACATTGATTTCAAATTGTGTTGTAGGCAAGTCAATAGGTAGAAGCCCAATAAATGGGAGACCATGAAGGAGATCAGGAATAAAGCAAGCAGAGGCAGACTTTGGGCATTCAATAATTATAAATGAGAGAACATTCTGGAAACCGTGCAAACTGCAATTGTTTAGTGAAGGAATTCTTATTTGCATGTGAGGTTTTATTTTCACATAGCCACGCTTCAAAGTCTAAGCCAAGGTTCTTTTGTAAAGTTTGAACATTGTATCCCTTTGGCAGTTGTGTATGTACTAAAAGTATTAACTTTTTAGTTAATGAAAAGCAATTGCCTCTTATTTCACAATAGGAAAAAGCTGACACAACTTGTAATACTGTTTTTTACTTGCAGTAAAAAACGCAGAATTTTTACAGCAAGCTGCTTTAGAAGAATACGGACCAGAACTCCATGTTGCTTTGAGAAGCCGAAGAGATGAACTTCACTACTTAAGAAAACTTACTGAACTTCTTTTTCCTTATATTTTGCCCCCAAAGTCAACAGAATGCAGGTATAGAAATTATTTAGAATTGTATTCTTTAAAGTTTTAATCTGCATACTATGTAATACGATAATTTTGGGATGTGAAAGAATGAACTCCAAAGTCATCCTCCTCATGCCTCCTTTTTATCCCTTTGCTTATGAGTTTTTTGATTGGTCTTAAAAATATTCTAGCACCCCTAAGGTATTATTAAATACTAAAATATTTCCCAGTAAAATATAATGGCATTGGAAACTTTACTTAGAAAATTATGTAATGTAGTATTTTTTTTTTTCTCCTTTTCAGATCCCTGGCTCTTCTCATAAGAGAGATTCTGCCTGGTTCTGTTTTCCTTCCGTCAATGGATTTCTTAGCTGATCCTGTAAGACTTTGGAGCACAGGAATAATCTTAATTTATTCAGTATTACTGTTTTCCTACTAAGTATGTATGTGGTTTTTACAAGGGTATATAGTGATAAGACAAGAGGCAATGGCTTTAAACTGAAAGAGGGGAGATTTAGATTAGATACAAGGAAGAAATTCTTGACTCTGAGAGTGGTGAGACACTGGAACAGGTTGCCCAGAGGAGTTGTGGATGCCCCATCCCTGGCAGTGTTCAAGGCCAGGTTGGATGAGGCTTTGAGCAACCTGGTGTAGTGGAGGGTTTCCCTGCCCATGGCAAGGGGGTTGGAACTAGATGATCTTTGAGGTCCCTTCCAACCCAAACCATTCTATGATTCTATGGTAAAGCAAATGATGCACAGTGACTTACTTCCTGTGGATTTTGACTGGGTAAAAGAAAAAGAAATTTAAACAAATTTAAATTTAAACATTTAAACAAGGGCTCAATTACTTGAACTCTAGCTATATTATCTTTGCAGCAGTGTAAGTAAACCAGCCTTTTTTGCAGCTGTAAGGAAATAAATTTTTTTGTCCTTAATTCTGCAAGTAAGAGGGCATTTATTTCTGAAGATGGAGCACTGCCGTCTTTGAATTTATTTATGCATGTATTTTAATAGGCAGAATTGCAATACTTATGAAAGTATCACCTAGCTCTATGCAAAATGTACTATAGCTCTGGAAGTATTAGTAGTTCATTAGATCTGCACTAACAGTAGAAATACTTTGTAGAGCTTTTGTCCACTGGCTAAAGAATGTGCAGGTCTCTTCAGCAATTCTGTGACTTGAAAATACTTGAAGAGACCGTTAAAGTTGAAGGTTAATTCTCAAACATGTGTTGCCAGGCTTTGTTTTTTTCAAAGTATTAATATATTCACAGTTTAAACTTGGGCATGACATAGTAGTGAAATGATTTTCATCTAATTTGTTGAGTTTCTGTAATACTAATTTTGTATTTTGTTTTCCGGCAGGACACTGTCAATCATTTGCTGCTGATCTTCATTGATGATAGTCCAGTAAGTACTGACAAAATTAAGAGTAGTAATTTGTTCACCCGTTAAAGAAGCTTTCTTACCCAATTGTTTCTTGTCATTTTTTTCTGCAGCCTGAGAAAGCAACTGAACCTACTTGTTCATTGGTTCCATTCCTTCAGAAATTTGCAGAGCCAAGAAATAAAAAACCATCTGTAAGCAAAGGCAGCATTTATTTCCTTACCTGTTTTGAAAAAGTCTTTTACTTTCCTTGCTGTTTTTGTTCTACAATTCTGTGTATTATTTATGTACTCACTGAAATTTTGAAAATTGGCTGACGGCATTTTTAACCGACTAAGGTCCTGAAACTGGAGCTGAAGGAGATCAGAGATCAGCAAGACCTTTTATTTCGGTTTATGAACTTCCTGAAACAGGAAGGGGCAGTCCATGTGCTGCAGTTCTGCCTGACTGTAGGTAAGATTGCATACGTGTGCTGTGGTGTATGTGGTGATCTTTAAAAGCTTTAAGCGTTTGCATGTTGAAGTTAATATTCAACCTCAGAACTAGGCAGCATTGTTAAGCAAGAGATTCCCTTTCAGGATCTGTGTTCACTTAGTTTAATATGGACTGATTCTTGAATGCTAATCTTAGCAACATTCATGTTGGTGTGGACTTAATTGTGGTCTTAATTGTATTTCTGCTTATTGATAAAAGTTGTATGTTTTAAAATAGAATATTGTAAGAAAAAAGTTCTGGCCACTAATACAAAGTACAGCTGCCTTTTTTTAATATGTGATTACTAAAATATTTTTAAAATGAACTGTTCATCATCAAAAGCTTCTCATGTTTTTAGCTCTAAAATTCTGATTTCTGTAAAGAACAGAAACATAACAGGAACATTAAAGGCACTGAAACCTTCTATTCAGTAACCTGTTCCTTGGTTGTGAAGCGTGCATTTGGTTTTACCATTGCAGAAGTGTTGTTTGAAAAGCCTTCTGCTTGCTAGTGATAAGGTTTTCTGTGAAGTTTCTGAAAGTTAGAGTGGTTTATTTCAAGTTTTTTTGTCAACTAGTAGCTAATTACTGGCTTACCAAAATAGTGTTGGTTTTTGGTTTTAGTAAACAAGTATTTCTGTGTTGCATAGGAAATAATGGGTGTGTCTTCATGTTCCAAGCCCATACATGTATCAGGAAGATGTGAAATTAAATTAGGCAGACTTTATCTCATAAAATGCTGCAGAAATCGTTAATAATTACATAAGAGAAATATCAATAATATCAATATAAAATAGAGAAATATCAATAATATCTGTGCTTCTTATGTGCCTTCCAAACATGGAATAATAATAACAGATAATCCTTCCAAACATGTTGACTTTTTATCAGAAAAACTCTTCTCCTCCCCAAAAATCCAACAACACGATTACCTGTTCAGTGCTGGTGGTACCTGCAGGGGATTCTAAGCTGACCCTTAGAGCAGCTTCCTCTAGCAGGAAAGTTACTCAAACTGTGGCTGTTGCCCATGATCTAATGTTTCTTGTGGGTAACCTCAGCATTTTCTTCCTTCGAAACTTTCTCATAGGTGGCAAATCTATATATTAACTTCTAAAACAAAAACCAAGATTTAGATCTCTCAAGTTATGCTGTCCCTAACTGTCTACTGTACGTGATTCTTCACTTGATAGAAACATTTTGGATAAGAAACACTTACTGAGGAAAATAAACAAAAAAAAAACCACGAGAAGGGTCTTGTTGGATTTTTTCTGAAGAAGTTAGTTTTTGTCTATAAATTGAAAAATGAAACAAACACTTCTTTTATTTTCCCTTCTTTCTGGCCAGTAGTCTTGCATTAATAGGATGAGCCAATAAATCAAGTAGGATTGCACAATAATTGTGCTGAATAGAATTTTTATTTTGTCAGGGGAAGTTCATTCTCAGTTAGTCTGATATTAAAGATGATATTGAAAATATTATGATGGATTTGGTTTTAGGAATGAAATAGCAGCAGAATAGGCCGATGACTAGTATAAAGGGCTACTGGAGCTCTGCGTGTGTTTAGCATGAACTGGAAATAATGCTAAAAACCCCTGTGATTTACAATTTGGTAATTTAAGAAGAATTATTCTTCTTAATCATTAATTTCTTTGTGAAAGAAATCATTTTTCTACTTCATTCTTCTGCCAGCAACAGCTACATGGATTTATCCTTAGTGTGATAAGGAATAATTAGTTTTAATTGCAATATATAATTTAGTAATAATTTTACTTAAAAATCTGAATTATAGTTAATAAGAAGGCAGCTACCTTATTATCTGAGATTTTGAGGTGTCTTCTGTTTCTGTTCATTTTAAAGTTTTACAAATTATTACATGTGGTGGAAAATGAGTTGATGTTATAGGTCACTTCAAGATGCTGTTTGTTTGCCAAGATACTTTTTCTTTTACTTCTCAGAGGAATTCAATGACCGAATTTTACGACCAGAACTGTCAGATACTGAAAAGATGTCTCTTCATGAGGAAGTACAGAAAATTTACAAAACTTACTGTTTGGATGAAAGTATTGACAAAATTAGATTTGACCCTTTTATTGTGGAAGAGATTCAAAGAAGTAAGTTTCAATTTGAAATGAATAATTTACACTGGAATTTAAACAACATTCTGTATTAAAATGAAGACTAATTCTTTTAAATATGGTCAATCTTCACTTTTGTCATAGTTTTAAAAATTGTTACCCCCTTGCTATATTGTGCTTAAGCCTTATTTTGTCACTTTATTTCTGTTTTTTGTCAGACTTACAGTAGCTTGCAAAGCAATCGCAAACTCAGACTAGAAAACAGACTTTATATGCCCATATATCTATCTATTTATATTCAGTATTTTTTTTATAGTTGCTGAAGGTCCTTATATAGATGTTGTGAAACTTCAGACTATGAGGTGTCTTTTTGAAGCTTATGAGCATGTACTTTCTCTACTCGAGAACGTTTTTACTCCTATGTTCTGTCACAGTGATGAGGTAAGTGTGAAAGATTTGAAGAGTAGCCTTAAAGCACGATTGTTTTTTTTTTTTATGATACCCTATTTACAACAGTCATGTGTATGTGAAACTGAAAAATATGTCTTCATTTTCCACTTTAGTTAGCATGCCAGAGTTGGGATGAATCTCAGCAAGAAAACTGAATTTATTCTCGTTCAACACAACATCAATAGAATAATAAAAAAACAACTCTTAATTTTTGATGTAACAATTTGTGTATATCACTGCTATTACAAAATCCTCTCCACCACTTCTTTTATGATTGCAAATTTGATGCAAAAGTAATCTGCATGACAGACATAGAACACTTTTAAGAATCTCTTTATTTACTTTTTAAAATATAATGATACTAAGAGAAAGAGACAAACGTATTTAGATGCCTTCAGCCTTATGAATTCTGGCAGCTAAAAGGCGGGTGTCTGTTTTCAGGAAGGTCATTCAAAGCATTTGAGGTTGTTCTATGATTGGGTTCTGAATGCAAGTTTTAAAAAAAAATATATAAAATCCCTACACTGGGATAACAGCTGCCTAAAGCCTTCTAGTAGGAAACGCTTTAAACACAAGGATGAGTCCGAATTCTTGTCTCTTTTAGAGTTTGTGTGTGTAAATCAGGTTGCGTGTTAAACTTCTCACATTTATTTGAGGCAGAATATATTGACTTGTCCTGGGAATGGGTAATTACCTTACTTGGCATTATTCTTGATAAAGTGCATTTCTCAAAAATGGTATTCATGGTCATCTTTCTTGTAATAGGTGTAATGCTTTGAGTGCTTGTTTTTTTTTTTAACAAGGAGGAGACAAGGATTTTGGTGCTTAATTTTAATTTGATTTCTGTTTTTGTTTTTTAATCCCAAGACTATGTAGAGTAAAATAAGTAGTCCTGGAAACATGTATTGCAAATTTGATCTGTCGTTTTCCAGATGAATATTGTAACTGCTAGATGATGGTCAGTTGGCCTTTTACTTCTGGTTTTGTTTCCGGAATTTTGCAATGTCATGGCATAGTAGCCCTTACCTCAGTTAGTCCAGTGTTTTCCTTGATACCTTATTTTTCTGTTGTAGTACTTCAGACACCTTTTAAGAGGAGCAGAGTCACCAACACGCAATTCAAAGTTTAACAGGTAGGTATGGTAGAATGTTTAAGTGGTTTTCTTTTGGTTTTGAGTTAAGTGTCAAAATGTTAAACTGTAGGAATTTTACTACTGCCTGCTACTAATTTGACTAAATTTTTAGCTCTACTTTTTTTTTTTTTAATGGACAAATTACATATGGAAGGAGCAAGCAATATTATACAAGATATCTTTTTGCTTTGAAGGGTTTTACATTAAAGAATTTAGAATGTAATTTAGATATCAACATTTGAGAAGAAGGAAGGGAAAGATGAATGTGCAGTGAGAATAAGATAACGTGGAAATAAAGTGGTGATTTAATTGACTGTATATATGAATACCATTTTGTTGATGCAAAGCTTAGTCGTCTTGGATTTCAGGTCTTACAGGGATAGGTACAGTGTACCCTGTGTCTAACCAACCTGGTCATGCAGTGGGAATCTCCTCTTGTTGTGACAGGGAGGATTTGCCACTTCTCCTTGGTGAAATGTGTTTTCCGTCCCTCAGGTCTCCTCATGCATTGCAGAAACATAGCATCAGAAGCCTTGTTTCTGGGTTTGGTCTATATACTTACAGACCACCTCCAGGCTCCTTAAGGCCTGTGGAGAAGAAGAGCATCTCCTTTGGTGTGGATGGGTGATCTTCCACTGTGGGGCTGGGTTGAGTAAGCTTGAGGTCTCATCATTTCTTGTCTTTCATTTTGTGCTGGATGGCTCAGTCATAGACTAGCCCAACTGAATTGCTCTTACAGTCTAGCCAAAAGACGGAAAACTTCAGTGAGACAGCCTTTAATTTAGATAGGCTTTCTTTCTTGGTAGGAAATAAGATCCACAGTACTGTGGAAAATGCTAGTGTTTATCATCTTAGATTGCTCTTCTAGAGAAGCAACAGCGATTTATTTAACTTTTTCTGTTTTCATTAGAGATACACCGAGCAGCAGCCCTCTTGATTTGCAGCCTACTAGGAGATGCATTATTGTGAGATGCCTTTCTCCCCTGCTAACTTTCTTCAAAAACTACATGACCGTTCTCTTTAGTATATGTCCATCTGTGACATCTGTTATGTGGTCTTTATAGCTCTTGTAGATCTAGGACTCAAGCTTTAGTGTAGTGCTTTTTCAGAATGGTGCTGACAAGCTTCTGTTTTTAGCAAAGAGTCATGGAGGGCAACTAGATCAAACTGCGTTTCTCCCCTACGTGATACTCTACTAGGAATGGTGACCTTGAAACACACTCTGGCTTCTGTTGAAGATGGCTACAGGGTTTCATCCAGACCTTTAAACCTGCCTTCTGGTATCTCTCCCAAAATTATTCATGTCAAGGGTTGAAAGTATCCTGTCATACACTTCTTAAATCTGGTTAAAGTATGAAAACATTTAGGTCGTCTCCTTGGTGCTTTGCTTTCCAAAAGAGAAAGGGTGAAATTACAGACAGTCTCTACTTGGAGTTTTTGAAATACATCTCTGGCTACAAAACGAGCAAATTTTGTTTGGAGACTGTGGCAACATTCCCCTGGCATTTAAACAGCATCTATAGCATCACTGAAAATGTGTCTGATTTACATTTTATAACAATTTAAATGTCTTGAGTATATATGGTAGTTTATGATACGAGATACTGTATGTTCCTGAAGTAGTGCCTCAGTGATTATTTCCATAAATAAACAAAGGTCCTATATAAAAGTAGCTTGCCTGTTGCTTTGGAGTTTTCCCTCTTCAGAATCTGGTCACTGCTGAGAGGAAAAAAAAAAAAGGTTACTTATGGAATTATTCCAGATGTTCTTCATGTGCACACACCTTATCCTGCCTTTTCTTCCCTATTCTAGTATTAGTTCCAGTTGAGAGAAATTATATGCAAATAAATGAGTTTAGTTTTCCATATTTTTGATGCTTTGCTAGGGTTACTGTGTGTGTATTGCATAAATACTGCTGGTTGAAAAGTCAGATCAAGTAGAAGATATGAAATCCCAGTGGAAGATACCTGTGGGTAATGTGTTGAAAGATTTTGCTTATTGTAAGATAAGAAAATTATAGAGCAGTTTCTAGAAAATAAGAGTGGGAAAGCAGGAAGAAGTGGCTGTCTGTGTAATTTCTGGTTTGGATCACTTCTTTGAACAAAATAATCATAGCTTTTTGTATATAAGTAGAGCAAATAATGTGCTATGAAAACTACTAAGGTAACTACTCCTCTTGTTATCCGGGGAAACTATGACATAGTTGCCATCACTGAAACATGATGGGATGACTCATATAACTGGAGTGCTACCATGGATGGCTACAAGCTCTTCAGGAGGGATAGGAGAGGTAGAAGGGGTGGTGGGATTGCCCTGTATGTAAGGGAAGGTCTAAACTGTTTAGAGTTAAATGTTGGGGATGACTTGGTAGAATGTCTGTGGGTGAAAATCAAAGGGGGGCCTGTGAAGGCGGATATGGTAGTAGGAATCTGCTACAGGCCACCCTATCAGGACAGTGAGACTGATGAGCTATTCTTTAAACAACTGGGGGAAGTCTCGCGCTCACTAGCCCTTGTCCTTATGGGTGACTTTAACCTACCTGATGTCTGTTGGAAGTATAACATGGCAGTCAGGAAACAGTCTAGGCGGTTCCTGCAGAGTGTGGAGGACAACTTCCTATCACAACTGGTCAGTGAACCGACTAGAGAAGGTGCTCCCCTAGACCTGCTGTTTGTGAACAGAGAAGGTCTTGTGGGAGATGTGAAGGTTGGAGGACGCCTGGGGCATAGTGACCACGAGATAATAGAATTCTCAATTCTAGAGGAAGTTAGGACATGTAGGGAGATAATCAGGGGGGCAAAAGCCCAATTGGAACTTAGACTAGCCTACTCCATAAGGAACAACAAAAAGTCCTTCTATAAATATATTAATAACAAAAGGAGGGCTAAAGATCACCTCCAGCCCCTACTGGACTCAGGGGGTACGTTAGTCACTAGGGATGAGGACAAGGATGAGGTCCTTAATGCCTTCTTTGCCTCAGTCTTTAATAATAAGGTCAGCAGTTCCCAGGTGAGCTGGCCTTCGGTGTCTGAGTGCAGGGAGGGAGAGCAAATCGAAGCTCCTGTGATCCAAGAGGAACGGGTCAAGGATCTGCTCCTTCGGCTGGATGCCCACAAGTCTATGGGGCCT